GTCTATTTCGTTTAATATCTCAGGATAGAGTAAGGATTAAGGAACGAAATTTGTCGTACTACCTTGTGTTTAATTAAATTAAGGGGAATTGATGCGATTAAATTTTGGTAGTGAAAGATTGATTGGGTGAAAAGATAGAGGGTGATATATATATATATATATATAAACTCGTGTCTACTCATAAAATTAAGCGTTTTATCATTTTAAAATAATTTAAAATATACAAAATTTTTATAAGAAAATCTCCTAACAGATGACGCCACACACAATTTTATTTATTTATTATAATGTAAAAGTTATCTTCTAAAAATCTCATAACAGTTGGAAAAGTTAAGCAACTCGTTGCTAGAGTTTTTTTTATTATTAATTACTAGAAATTCTCCCGTCAAGCATGACGGAATATTTTTATGAGAAAGTCAAGATTGAAGAATTGCTTCAAGTCAAGCTTGACGTTCTGATGCTCTTTCAGCAGTCCTTGGCAAAGTCATTCTTACTCGGATTTTGTTCAAGTTGAAGTTCACGGTCTTCAGGAATCTCGGTTGTTCTTATTCTTTTAGATCTAGAATTCGACGGCCGGATGGTAGAACGGTCAAGGCGGCAATCCACCGCTCTGGGAAACCTGGGATCGAATCCAGAAGAGTCGAAAAATCCACAGGAATTCTTCGGAGGTGGTCCGTCTGGATATGTCGGGCCCCGTCCTTCAGCACCCGGCTGCCTTATTGTAAGCCTGGCCAAATCTATAATGGACTTGCTAAAAGAGGTCTTCATAATGCCCATAAGACGGAAAAAATAAAAATCTAGAAGTTGCCTGACCATTTTTACTCTTACGCTTCTAAATTATACTTATCGTCCTGACCCTCTATGAACAAAAATCTTACTCGTCGAGACTTTAACCAGAAATCTCATAAATGAGTTAGACACGCTACCTATACACATTAGATATATAATATATACACTAGCTTGTTACACCAAGCGTTATTAATCGGAAAAATCGTGGTAAAACCCATTCTAGGAAACTATCAGAATGCTTATAAACTAAGTGGGACTTACATCCTCGTAAATAGCCAGTATACAGAAAAATAATTAGAATTAGTTTGGTTTAGGCGACGTCATACGTGGGCGATCTGCCGAGTAGGATGCCTCTTGGGAGGACTTTTATGGAAAAGTGGTCCGGTTAGATGTTACTAACATGATGAAAACCCAGAAAACTCCACGTACCGGCCCATTGGCCTGGAGCAAACTCACGACTAACTACAGGTGATCGGTGATTTATCCACTCGGCCACCAGTGGGCACTTATTAGAATTAAGAAAGTACCATTGGAAAATGAAGAAACCCGAGTAGTTAGATGTGGAAAATTAAATATTTATATGGTGTTACACTGTTAATAACGGTTCGTACCAAGGGTAATCCACATAAACCGTATCATTGAAGTCCTCGAGGACCACATCGTAAGATCTGCAAAATATTACGTCTCAATGTTTTGTGCTTCTCGAAATAGAAGACTTGAGTTTGAGGTCACTTCAATTTCTGTGCGCGCATGGCCCGCAAATAGTCAATTTTGTCCTCCCATTGTGCGTCATTGAAGCAAGCATACATTTTCAAATTTGGTGATAGTACAACTTTTAACTGTGTTCTTCACATTTTTCAGCTTAGCATAACTTTTTCTGTAAATTGGGGTTAAACTGGACCGAAATCTCACTTTAATTAATAACTTCTAAAATGGTGTTAGTAAGGCTGACAATTTAACTATCTTGGGGTACGGTACGTCTTACGTGGCAGCGTCCAGCGTGAAGGCTCTTCCAAGCGGAGCGACAAACTGATTCAAGCAAATGTGCTTGTCTGTAGTAACCGCATTTAGCGTGCAGCGACCACTACATGACGCTTCTACACTAGCGCAGGAAGCAGCTACCAAGCAAGTTTGATCGCCGCTTCCACTGCTCGCGCTTCCAAAGAAGAAAATGGCCGATTTTGTAGATAAAAACAGAATGACAAATTGTGTATATGTGTTGTATGTACTTTAATTAATAATCTTTTACGTAATTTAATAATTTCTGATTTTGTATAAATGTAACGTTTTAAAAATAAAACTTTTTTTAGCAGCCTACAAAGGTCGTCAATTGCTTGTATTCTGGAACACAAGAAGTAAATAAATGGTGGTTACCAATTTTGAACAGACTATGTCTTCAGATTAATTTTAACTTTTTAAAACTTATTATTCTATAAAGATTCTTTATATTTGTTGTGTACCTAGTTAGTGATAACATTTACCTTTCAAATTTATCGTGTTATTGCTTGTTATATTTTCCATAGCAAGCATTCGACGAAGCCGTATCGCCGCCATTTTGTAAACAACACGCGTCCAGTCTAGACAGAAGTCGCTCGCGAGTTGGACGCGCGTACAAAGATTCTTTCCGCTCGCGGTCGCTGTACGCTGCCACGCAGGACGTACCCTTGGCCACCTTTAAGTCTATTCTGGTGATGAACGTCAGAGCTTGAATGCTGTGCATGTGTACTCTTCGCACTGGCTCCAATACCTCCTCTCAGTCGGATCAGAACGGCCCAGACGGCGGGAAATTTGACCATTTGCTTTGCTCATCCCAATAATGTGGCATTCTCAAACTCCGTCAGCTGTGCGTAGTCCTTGACTGTCAGGCGTTCGAAAACCTCCAAACAATTGATACACTGAAAATTCTGAACACAGTAAGTCTCTGTCAGTCTTTTTAATACTGGAATAGTGATTTTAAGGCACTTTTTTAAACTCTTTCCGCCCTGTGATTTTTTTCAGGCCCAAAATGTAGCAGCTAGGTGGTGACCCGACATATCCGGGTCGGGTCATTCCCAAAAATTTCATGAGGCTTTTCGATTCGTACGGATTTGTTCGTGGCTTCTCCAAGTAGAGGTTGACACTTTAAAGTATATTGTCAGTCTGTAAGCATACGTCGATCGGATCATCCATATTTACAGTTTGGCACTGGCGCCATCTGGGGAGAAATATATAAACTGTGTGTGTTTATTAATTAATTTACAAGGATTCTACAATAGAAAGTCATATAATAAATTTGTATAAAACGATGGATATATCGTAAAATAAACTATTTAATTAAAATAACATTTACAGAATTTATTTCTGAAAATTCATAAATTAAATTTTGCTACTAAAGGTTGTCTGACTTTCGGAAAAGCTATTCGTTTTCCAAAGGATACTGATAATTAAAATAATACGGTTGCGTGACAATTTGAAATGTTAATATTTGCTAATTGTTTTAGACACAATAAAACGCGGGCCTGACAACGGGCTGGCGACTTGGAGTTTGCCAGGTTTTCTTCACGTCTCTAGCACCTAAATATGAGCCAGTTTCCCATAGGGTCCTCCTGAGTGGCATTCCTTTGGCAGATTGCCCACGTGTTGCGTTGCCGTATATCACAATCCAATCCAACGAATTCATTCAATGAGATAGTTCATTGAGTGAGTTTCCATACACGTTCACAATTAGAGTGTTTGGAGCTCTATATAGAAAGAACTATTAACCAAATTTGATATAATGCTTAACTGAGTATGCAATTTCGATTTTTGGAAAATAATTTTACTTCAAAATTCATCCGCTATGACAAAATTTAGCGCTTATGTTCTCTTAATGCGTGTATTACGTAGGTCTTACAACAAATTTTGGATATAAAAAGAGTCGCAAAACATCCGAAATTTCTTAAGAGTTTAATAAGTAACACACCATCAAACAGAGCATCACGACTGTTCAGCTGTCGAAGAATTGTGAAGAATATTCGGCGACTCTTTTAATATCCGAAATTCGTCAGAAAACTTACATGATACGCGCTTTAAAAAGAGATCAGCTCTAAATTTCGCTCTAGCGGTGAATTTTGAAATAAAATTTATTTTCCTAAAATCTAAATTGAATATTCGGATTAGCATGTACACCAAATTTGATTGAGATTTGCCCAAAAGTTCTTTCTACAGAGAGACATTCTACAGAAAGAACACATATTCTTTATTTAGATCACCCTGAATAGCATCTAGTGTATGAAAAACATTACTTTCACGGGATTACCAAAACGTATCTTACTAATGTATTGTACCACGTTCGCGAACTTAGTCCTTCCAACATAAGTTGGTAGTTGTCAAACCAGACTAAACGACTTTTAAACCATTCATAAGGAAGAAAGGGGTGACCAATGCTCCAGGCCTATAATAAACAATTAAGTATTTACAACTAATAAAACAGGTCTCTCCCTAAAACTTATTGAAAAGTGGTTTAGTCTGATTTGACAACTATCAACTTATGTTGGGGCAACTACAAAGAATATAATTTGATCCCTTGATTGATAGGATAAGGCAAGGCAAGGCAAGACATAGAAGACTTTCGGGAAGACTTTCTAGGGGAAACTGTCCCTATTTAGGTAAAGAAAACACGGAAAACTCCACGTGGCCAGCTTGTTGGTTCGGCGCCAACTGTTATCAATGTTCAATAGTTTTAACATAATTTAAACATTATTTTAAAAATGATTTACATTATAAATTGACTATTATAATTGATTCTGGACATTTGATTCAAAAGTAAAATAATAGTTTTTCATTTTAAGAATTCTTCACACTTATTTTAAATATGAGATAAGCTAACTTCAAATAGATAAATTTATAAACCAGTTTTGAATGTTAGCATGGAATATGACTCAAAAACAATGTTCGTTTTATCAGTATTCAAATAACAGTGATAAGAGCATTCTGCGAACACTATCTGATTATTATTTTTATCTCAATTAAATTAATCATCTCTAGTAGTTAAAATTAATAATAAAGTACATATTTCCGATTCTAGGATAGAGAAAATTTCATTGTAGTTGTTTCTACACTGTATTCTTTAAATCCTACAAATAAAAAATGGAAAAGTGTTATCCACATTAATTCTTAATTACTGTAAAATTCCAGTTATTTTAAGGGTTATCACTTATAGAATATGGTTCACTGTAGAGTTACCTTAGTCTATAAATGTTAATAAATGGAAGGTGTTAGATACGTTGTTACGAGAATATTGTCTTTAGTCTGGATGTTTTGTGTAAAAATTCCGATAAGAAATCTAACTGAAGAGGGCACAGCAAAAAGTGCCGAAATGCATTTTAGATGTCTGAGTTAAATGATGTACAGTATATTGTAATGGATAGTGGTATAATAAAATAATGATCTCAAGTCTCTTAGTGTGATAACTCTTAAAATAACTGGAATTTTACAGTAATTAAGAATTAATTAAGTAAAAAAAAGGAGGATAAGAAGCTAGTCGGTAGACAAATAATGTTATCCACATCTTTCTATTCTCTGAACAAGAAGGAATGTGAGGAATGTGATACAGTAAAACCTGTTTAAAACGGAATCAGGATGATCAAAACTTTCCGTTTTAACAAATTTGTGTTACGGAATATAATTTTTTGTGGGTCCCAAAAAATACCACTTCCGCGTTAGACAAGCCTACGATTTATAATATTTTGAATAGAAAAACACTCTTTTCGAAATCTATTATCCGTTTTGTAGAGAGCTCGTTTTAGATAGCGTTTACTGCATATTTCCTTCGATTCCTCAGCAGAAAAAACAACTAAAATATATGTCCTCTGCACACATATAGTACATAACTGTACATGGAAGACTCTTCAGAAACAGAAATTTTATTCAATTACTGTATTCATGTAACGAAGCATTTTTTAAAGTAGTTTTAGTTGGTACTTTGAGATATTACTTAGTTTTTCCACTTCATTTAGTATAGTATCAAGTATGTACTGTGCATTTCTTAATTAATTACAAATTTCTCGTTCAGATGGCGTTAGTATTCGTTCTCTCTGTCTGCATTTCCTTAAACCTAATTATAGTGTATGTTAGCTTTAGGTTTTAAAGTCCTTCTCAGAGGATTAAAGAGCAAATTTTAATATATTTCTCGGAATATTCTTATGTAACGGAATTCTTTCCGACATCACGCACGGTCACGTGGTAACTTTGTAATTAAAACAGTTTAATAACTTAAACTCACATTTGTACATTATATAAAATGATTACTTGTGATAGTCAGACAGAACACGTTGTAATATGGAGCCCTTTTTAACAAACAATATGTACATAGTAAGGGTCAATTATGCGACTTCAATTGTTCCTTTTCCTGGGTATCCAGACAGCTTCTTCCATAGAACTATGAGAAGACCATTCGTATTCTTGAATACTGTCGTTGGAAGATAACAGGTCCACCTGATCGACCACAACACATTCATTTAAACAAGTGCTCGATCTGGGACTGTCCGTAGGTGTATAATCATCACTAGGGGGTCTACGATTCCCTCGCGATCTAAAACTGCCAAATAATGGCCAAGATATTCGTCCACTATTACAGCGGGGTACCGTGGCCTCTCTGATTAAATTGTCCTGTCGATAAGTAACAGGAGAAATGTTATCAATCAACGACGATCTATCCAATGAGGAGAGTTCTAGTCCGGTGTTACATAACACTCGTGAGGTCTTCGAAGTAATGGGTATTACGGGGCGTCTTTTGGGTTCTGTTCTGCTGAAATTACCTGGTCTAATTGAAGGCGGGCAACTATTCCTGAACTGTCCTCCACGTACAAAACTGACTGCTGCAGAATCGTGCTGATCGTCTTCGTCTGTATTAGAAAACTTGAATTTTTCAGCTCCTGGAAGCCTCGGATGTTTCATTCTATATGAAAAAAATATACAGTATATATAAAGGGAAATTAATAACATCGTGAAGAATGTTCGCAATTAGATTATTTCTTAGAACTGTTAAATTTTTACGATCGGATGCATTTTTAAAATACGTTTTCTGTAAGAAGAAACGAAAACTCCTATTACGCATTGTTAACCAGAGAAATTCTATAGCTTACTCTATTGTGTATACGCATAGTTTCCACGTCACAATTACGAACATGAATCATTTTCAATAGAAACGGCCATTAAAATAAAATTTTATAGTGTCCTTTCCTCGAAAGATATATCACGTAGGTGAATATTAAACAGAAATATATTTCTTTCCCCTTGAAATTCTACCACAGTCAAGGTTTATGGCACTAACCTGAGTTTTTCAGAAAGGCCGACCCGACATGTATTTCGTGGGTGGTGATAAGGGTTAAAGTTCCTGTCTAATTCTGAGAACACGAGCTCCCCATCTGTTTACTTCGCCGCTTGGTACACAATAGTATCATTACTCCCAAATCTCTGTCCCTGTTTCTAAGTTTGCACGAAGTTAATTATCCGATATAAAGTCAACAAGTTGTAAATGTAAATGTTAACAATGATGTAAAAGAATTAATCATTAAAAAAAAAACTCAGATAAAATTAGAATATGAACAAAACAATAACAGTACGTGACTCATGAAAACTTCATTAACAATTCGATAATCGTTGTATAGATTTAGATGCAAGTGTAGATAACAAGAGGTATCGATGGCTTATTCGTGTTAAATCATGTAAAGATGGGGTTGAAAACAATTGTAAGAATGTAAATCGCATAAAATTTAATTTAAAATTTACTATTTTGAGAGCTCTTTTAAAGTCTAAAATAACTAAAATGAGATAAGAATAAACAGCCATTTTTTGAATGAATGACAGTTTGTGTTACTGAATGGAAACGCGTAACGAATGTTTATTATGTAAAGTTCATTTTTAAAATATTATGATAATCCTACTAAACAGTAATAATCTATAAAAATCAACATTACGGATCGATTACACAAATTTATTACTGATACTTAGTCAATTATCGTAACGTAATTATCACTTTTGTTTACTTTCCATCTGGTGTATGGTAAAATCCTTTCTCTACACCGCCTATGAAGTGTAGAATTTCACAAATGACTTCCTCTAGTAGACATACATATTTTTTGTATGTTCTTTCATGAATTGCTCCTTTGTTATTTTGTTTTTTAACTTGTTATCGATACCAAACTGATTAAAGGAACCTCGTTAACGAATAAACGATAAATTATTATATTTTATGTAAGAAAATTAGGGATATTTCAGAAGTTTCTTTCTTTTTTTTTTAAATAAAATTCATGTCAACATACCTTAGATATTACGACTTTATCTTCCTTTTATTTTGAAAGTTCAATGATCTGATGGCAATCTTCGAAAATTCATCAATAAAACTACATCTGTAATAAAAACAAATATGCTAACTGTATTTAAAAACTACCATTATATACATATTTTTATACGAAAAAAATTCTAATTAATTTTCATTTCTTTGCTCTTTAAACACGAATGATTCAAAATGTTAACAGATTCAGTTGGTTAATTCCGAAGTTTATATAAACTAATATTTTATCTCGAGTTCCCATGTAGCTAGATACCTATTTCATCACTTACCCTCTTTACAATGATCAAATTTATTGATATAGAAAAATTATATATATATAACACTTTTCGCAAAATATATAGACAGACAATAGTAGTCTTTTGCGATAACATACCAAAAATTTTGAAATATTGTGAACATTAACTTGCCAATGAATCATTAATTAGGCTACATCCTGAAATCAGTGTGAATGACTTGATTGTAATTTGGACAGACAATTTTTTAAGAATTACTAATTCTAGATGAAGTAATTAAATTTTTATTGTTGCTAGTTCATTCCGCTTCTAAAAATTCCATGGGTTAAATATAAATACACGAAGTACCCTTTGCACTGTGTATAATTTTAAACCAATTAAGATATTGAACCGATAACACCGAATGTTTATAACAGGAAGAGGATATTGAGAATCATAGCCTTAGTTATCACTCCATTTAATATCTAATTTTTAATTTAACTGTTTCTTTTTATCGCTGCTTACTCCATAAATGAGAAATGTTTCAATTCCCCTTACCGCCCTTATCCATGAGAATGAGGTATGCCAGAGGAAGAACGGATCAGCAGACGTGTCACTTTAATGTAGAATGGGTTTTGTTAGCGTTGAAGGACCGTTGGGCGATAAGGACCTTAGAACTCATCACTGAAAGTGACGGGAGTCTTTCTCTCGCTCGCATTCCATCGGTCAATGTCTCCGTCAAAAAACTACCAAATCAGATAAAGGAAATGACTCGTTGGTTTAAAACAACTCCTAACTTAGCGGGTGGCACGATAAGTGGACGAACTGACAGCGCTGCTTATTGCTGGGCGTTGAGCTTCTGACATAAAAAAAAGAATGTCAGAAATGAGCACACCCACATTGCTGCTTGGTCAGATACCGAAAACGAGTTTTACGGCTGGACACACACATACACGAGCTCAAACAATTTCCATAAATTAACTTACGGGCAGTGGGATGTTGCAATCTCGATGGGCAATCTCTGAACGTGTTTTCGGGCCGGCAAAAGATATTTTAATTAATTTAGGTTAGCGGGGTTGCATCCTTAACATAAAGTAACAGGAAAATAATTCTAAATAAACTCGTAAAAAATTCGGTTTATTAGCTAGTGGGACTTTTCGTATCGGTCATAAAAAAGAAATAATATAATACGTTTTATTCGCCAACGTCTTGTTAATTGCTCCCTTGCAGATGAGAAAAATCCCAACATATTTCAGCGGGTTATATCTGATGTATCGTTCGATAATAAAACATTTCGAACGTAGTCAGATAGAAGAAGTAGGTCACGTGTCGCAGAAAACAAAAATCACCCCATGGTGCTAATAAATAATGCCCTAATGAAAAATCGACTTATCGTAACAATTATAAATATTTCGTAAAATGGGTCACAACCTGTTTATTTAAACATATTAAGGGTATAATTAAATTCACGCAAAGTTTACACAGCTCCCATATTCATGTACACATCATCATTAGTTCTCTGTTTAAATTATAGTAGTACCGCAAGGCCACATCCCATAAAGTAATTCGACGAATGAAAAGTAGCCATTACGGGCTATAATTATGGACTACGACTGTAATTTAGGGATCCGCTATGGAAATATTCAAGCGTTTTTTTTATTTTCATCCATCGTCACTAATCCATTTTACACTAATTGCCATCAGAAATTGAAGAAAAATTTTAAAAAACACTATCTTTTTTGTGTTGGTAATTCCACTAACAAACTACGATTCATCTTACAGATTTAAAGCTACAATTAACGTCATTCAGTTTATAATATCATCCAGGAAAGACGCCTACGAATCACTGGCGGCGATAGTCTGTCAGTCTGTCCGCCTAACTTTTATCGGTTTATACTAAAATTTCTTAGTGGAGTCAGATAAAGTAGGTCAATGTCGGAAGATTACGAATCGAAAATGTAATTAGCGGTCTCTTCTACTTTGCCCTTAATTTAGTTAGTTTCCGGTGATTCGATTAAGATTTTAACGATGAGAAGTCTCCTTAACACAAAAATTGATTGGATAATATTTTTTTGCATAAGGGAATCATTAAGTAAAAGGTAATGAAGTATGACTAACCTAGCAGGTTTTGATTTGAGAGATTAAAACATTGTATGCAACCCTAAACCGTTTCTTCGAGTCATTTGCATAGAATACAGGTAAAAAAAATCTCCAATATAATGCCATATCAGACGAAACAATCGCTATGTTTTGACGAACATGAGCGGAATACATAAACAGACCGTCGTGACCGAAACTTATAAACAACATAAGATATACTAAATAATGATTAAATTTCCCATGCGATCTGGACAATTTCCTTCGAAGTTTTTCGATTTCCTGTCCAAATTCCAGGAGTGGCAGAGGTTGTCGTAACTTCAATATATCAATTCTTTGACTAGTAAAAAGTGGGCATTGAAGCTGTCAAAACAATCTCCCATCTCGGGTTGAAAAACCAAACTCTTTTTTTTTTGTTCACTTCTCGGCACAAACCAGCAGCAGCAGCACCTTCTCGACAGCTCGACAGAAAGCAAAAACCGACAGACGAAGTCAGGAAAGAAGTGAAAAGCGCCGAGTTACAAAAATATCCTAAATTTTTTTCTACTTTCGTACCAGAACAAACATCGCCTTTCAGTTTAGGAAAGTTATGGGGCACCAAAAGGGGATCCTCCCCCGACTACCGACTGGACAAATGTCGTCGATATAGTGACAGAAATGCAACGGGGGTATCAAAATCTGTCAACCCGACTGTGACAAAAACTACGAGAGAAGAGAATAATGAACCCTCAGACCGATTCCTATACAACATTAATCAAAGTCTTGTTAATCAGCACAAAATCCAATTAATCAAAATTTACAAGAACAAATAAGTTGCCTAATAATTTTTGGTACTGATGAAAGATGTAGGCCAATGTAATAATCTAAATTAACCGGCCTATTTGAGAACGTTTCGTAAAAATCCCTGCTAATACACCCGAATTTTTGAGTACATTAGCTCCCGTTATCTTATTAAAAGTAGGGCTAATATATCCAAAAATACCGTCTTTTTACTTTAATTTTTAGCTCTGGTTTGTTACTACATTCCGTTTGTGTAGTGGGAAGTGTAGAAGAATGCGATTTCCCACCGCTAGTGTTTATGAAACATGACCCTACCGTGTAAAATGTATCGAAAATTCCATTAAATAAATATATTTTCGTGTACAAAAACATATAATTACCTCACCTGATCGTTTTATCTTTACGGGAACATCACCGTTTACTTCCAATGTAATATATTTATATTTCTTTTTTAAGAGAACAGGTTCTCACCCCAAACTACACTTTCGAAGAATTTTCCAGCAGATACCGGGTCAACACCAACTGAAAGGAAAACGTTGACCTTCATTCATTCTTTGCCAGATGACAACAAAAAGATCAAAATGGCCCCGTATTAAACCGTAATTAATACAAAAAAACTCAATTTATACAAAAATATGACGTGAAAATGACGTCATCGAGCCTTCCGCTTTTAGGCTTATCATTTTAAAATATAATTACATTTACTCGATAATTAAAAAAAAATTATAATCTCCGTTAATTGTTTAAACGATTAATTTTACTTTATAATTTTCACACTTACTCGATTTAAACGTCGGCAAATTAGGCAACAAGTCCTACCGATGTTGACAAACCATTAAACACTGATCGTCTGCTCGTTTCTCGTCACATTTTATCCAATCATTTGTAAAATTTAAAATATTTGAATTTAAGAATTTTTAACGGATTTTTTTTAAAATTTACGTCACAATCGTGATTTTCGAATTTTTTTAAAGTATAATTAGTGTAATATCCCAGAGAAAAAAAAATGACGCGCAGTTTGTCACGTGATCATTTTTTATCCAATCACTCGTTAAAAACGAAATATTTGAATCGTGAAATAACGGATTTTTTTAAAATTTATGTCGCAATCGTAATTCGATAAACTTTTTAAAATAAAATTGGTAACCATAACAAGGAAAAACAGCAATAAAGAGGGGGAAAAAAAGATAAATTTATCGATTAGATAATAATAATAATTTTTCACTTATTCCAGACTTTAATAGAAACCGATAACTGAATTAAATATGTGCTTTGTTAAGGATGTAAAAATCAATAACATCAAGTGATATTAATGTAAATCAATGTCGCAATTTAACACGTTAATTGAAAGTATAGCTTATTTACCTTGACACACTTACTTTATATAGAATAGGCCTAGTTATGGCCGGTTTTTACTATCGATAAAACGCCTCCGATCGATGATTCTGGGTGAAAATATGCTCAATGATCCCGATTCCAGTTTATTAAACCCAAGCGAATCATCCTCTATATTCTTTAACCAATTTAAAAACGAAAAAGCTTCGGTGAGTTTTACTAAAATACCGTGACCACCTGTTGAACAACTATGCCTTTTACACAAACTATGACTTGTTGTGTGTAAAATATATAAACTTAACCTTAAAGTAGGCATGACCGAACAGGTATTCTATATTTAGAATTGACTAATATAATTATTATTATATATTTTTTCTTTAGGTAATGCAAACATCCGGTAAGTTCCATCGTTTCGTCTGAAGCTTTTAGTAAGTATCATTGGCTGATTGTTAAGGGTGAATTAGTATAAAACTTCAAGAATGGTGCATCGCTAATCATTCTTTTTATTGTATCTAGGCGTATTCGCGACCTTCTACAGAGAAACGCGTTATAATGAGGTTTTTTACTAGAAAAGCCGATGACACATCAAAGATGATTCGTTTTACTTAATATTAAAGTAAGTTTTAAAATAATTAAACTTAGATAATGGCAGAAAACGGTGAATTGGAGGTTTATTTTCAAGAATAATAGTAGAACAAGCTGCTTTATATTGAGTAAACCGTGTTCAGCAATGGCCTTGACACTTCAAAATTGTACAAAAAGTCATTTACGTTTTAATGATTATACATTTTTGTATATTATTATAGTGTATTATGTAATGTGTTAGAAAAATTTCAAGAAAAATATATTTTAGATAATTGAAGCTGTTTTTTTTAGAATGCAATGAGTCACTTTCTTAGTTAGAATTACTTATGCACATTCCTTATACACAATCACGTCGGTTGTTAGCGTGATAAGAATACTAAAATAAACAAATTTAAGACATTTTAAGTAATTTTATATACTATTATTAAGCTTTTACAATCGAAATTAGCTTCAATTTTACGTGAGAAATGCTTTAAAGGATTTGTATTGCAAACTATCAGCAGAGTTAAACTATTCATTAGCGCAACTTGAACCGATATTTGGAGGTTCGAATTAAAAAGTGAAAACCTACATTCACTCCTGTACCATTGTGAATGTACCAGGCCATCGAGAGGGACTAAATGAGTCCCTCTCGATGGCCTGGTAGTCCCTATCGAGAGGGCCTATAGTAGTCCCTACACTTATAAATTAATGCTATTTTTACTAATGAAAGACTGTTATTTATTAATAAAGAAACATTCTACATGATTAATTTTTTCAAAATAAAAAAACAGCAAAAGCAGACCCGCTCTACCTGGGCCTCTCGAGGCCATTGGTTCTTTATGAAGAATAAACTCTTAGATATTGTATATACTTGTAAGTGCGCTTGTCACATTCAAATCTTTTTTCTGTGCGTTTGATGTTTTTTAATTTATTTATTTACAAAAGGTAAGGACACACGATGCCCGGGGCTTCTCCTTGGTTACACTACTAACTGCATTATTTACACATTGGGCAATTTGATGGCCTACAAATTGTTTTTTTTTAAACTTAAATTATGTTACTTCTTGAATTTTAAGGCATTAAATCCCAAATCTTGTAGGACACAGTGAAAGAAACATTATTACGTGATAATCCCTGAATTTATGAAATGTTACAAAGTACAGCGTGGCTATTTTGAGCATTACACTATTTTTCAACGGTTATTTCTTCTATTATCTAGTGAAATGGGATTTGTAGATAAAGCAAGTGCATCGTACTACTTACGTAAAAAGGTATTTGCCCGGATTATTCGGTAAATTGTGAGAATTTCCTTGTATGAAACCATCAGCATCAATTCATCAAGATTGCAGATGTGAAAACGATGATAATCTAAATTTAAAAATAAATAAAATCAATTAAAATTAAATTTTTTTGTGTTATTTCATTTCATTTATTTTACTTTTTAGAGAATTGCTATAAAGTAAATATATTCTTATTATTAATAAAGATGGATCGATCAGGTCATGCCCTCTGCAGAGATCGTGACCTGATCGATCTATCACTTGCAGAACTTCAAAATATTGCAACGTGTAAACGAATTCAATAATCTAAACGTTAATGAGCAAACATTAAAATATTTCAAATCGTTGATTAAAAATACCAATGGGAGTACTTATAGTTAAATTTTGATGGTGTCGACTAGAATACTTTCGAGAGGGACAAGCTGAGAATAGAGTCATATTTAGGTACATGCAGAGTGCATGACATCAATGATGTAACGGGAAAATTGATGGACCACCCGCAACATAGACTTCGTGGCACATTCCAACACCCAAAAATTTTGTAAATCTGCGAGTTGCTCGCGTGAATATGTTCGTTACACCCCAGCACGATTCTTTAATCTCTGCCAAGATCATGTGTCAAATTATATGGAATTAGGTACATTTTTACGAGAATTTTCAGAGTAAATTTGAAATATTTAATTCCTAAACGTGACGATTGTTTTCCAAAATATGTAATTTTATATAGGCCTACATTGTTACTTATAAACCATATGAGAACGTGATCATCGCTTTTCTTTAAGTCATTTGAATTATTTATTATAGAATTGTATACAAATAATTCAAAAAATATTTAAATCTCTTCTTCATTTAAAGAATAAATCGAATTATTTTTTCTTTACGCTTCGCGGACACTAAAAATGTTTTTTTTTTTTAATCACCGTGGCTTTATCCAGGCCCACAATGGAAAGGCCTAGTGGGGAGAGAGGAGGCCCGACATATCCAGGACGGACCACCCCTCGAAATCGACCCGTCAAGTTTCGATCCCAGATCCTCCAGAGCAATATTCTATTAATTAAGATGATAATAGGAGATTTTTTAAAAGATTTATAAATAGATACGTTCTACAATAGAAAAAAATAATAATATCCTTAGACGTAACTCTCTACAATAAGCTTATATGTTGAAGAAACGTGTAGAGAATATTGATTATCCTTTATAAAGGTAATAATTCTACGTTTAAATTTCAAATTGTTCGGAAAATCCAGAGAATATGATGTTTTTAAAACGATTTCTATATTTAAATCGAACACAGGCTTGCAAACAAATATAGAAATTTTAAGTACACATGCAGAAATACACACAGATGTACAGTATATAAACCTCGAAAGTAATTAAATTTAATATATTGCATTTAAATACTTGTACAAGTCGACCCCCCTATAACACTGTTGATTTTTCCGTTTTATATGAATTCCATGTTGTATGAGTCACTTAGATTTTACAAATACGTGTGCCGGGCTGTGAACGGCTAACGTATTTGTAAAATCTAAGTGATTCGTACAACATGGAATTCATATAAAACGGAATAATCAACAGTATTATAGGGGGGTCGTCTGGTATAAGCCGAAATTATACAAATGAATTTAGTAATTTCTCTCAGAAAAATAAAAAAAATCAGTCGAGCCTCCAATAACGACCACCTCTAAAGGCGGCCATTTTTTACAAAAGTGTTTTATACGTACAAAATAACCTCTAAACAACGGATATTTATTAATATTCCCGTTGTTTATAGGTTTGTTGTAACTATTTTACTAGATTTTAATGAAGTAAATAAACATTAAATTGTAATTAATTATGTTTTTATCTATTTAATTGTAAATTTGTACTACTTTTATGTGAATTTTCTCTAATTTCTAAGTTGATTTTAAATACAAGTTAAATTCTGTTTCTGGATATAAATTAATTGAAGTTATACAGATCTCTGACAGTGAAATGTACTTATATAATGATTTCCAAATAAAGAAAACATGGGAGTGTTAGAAAAACAGGAGTAAAAAATCCTTCCAAGTAGTCAGATGGACAGACAGACAGACTACTTAAAAAATGCGACACACTTAAAGTAAGAAATGATAGAAGCTATGAGAATCAGATAATGAAGGTCACAAGTATATTTTATGTAATAAAATGTTACATTATTTAATCGTAATTAATGAAAATTACCTAAATTAAAACCACAAAATTATAAAAAGTAAATAAATAAATTTAATAATGATTAACTTCAAAATAAAAGTTTGATTTTTTACTATATTGAAAATACATTTCAACATTTCTCAATCGGTAGATCGCGATCCCCCGCTGTTGAATATTTTAAAAATTTTATAACTTTACGCTCGATTAAACCTACTTAATTTAGTTGCGAGTCAGATTAAAGGTAAACGATATAAAGTCGATAAAATATTATTCATGAGATTTATCACGAAAAAACAAGTTTTTTTTAATAAAATCTTTTAACCTACTTCAACTGTCGTGGCGTTAAGCTAAGTCAAATTTATGAGCTAATATATTAAGTAAAATATATAATATATTGTTATCCTACGACCTTACCTAAATTTGGGAACACGAGAAAATTTATGGTTAAAATCTTTAGAGTAAATTCCTTTATCTTGTAATTGTAATTAACGTTAGAAGTTCCATACGAATGAATAA